ACATCCTTTTCTGTACCATATCGACCGATACATTGGTAAAATGTGTTGATACATTTCACACTAAAAGCCTCCTATGGCAATCTGTTTAGAATGTATCGATACATGCTCCTATGTATCAATACTTTGAACACAGAAACTAAATTTCTGAACAATTTCAGCATTTTTGCCATTCCTTAAGTCCTTTGATAACCACTTTAGAGATATTATTTCAACATACATAAATAATTCTTTTCATAGAAATCATGCTAGCTTTACATATCAAAATAATTTGAAAGTGGTGTATCCACTTACCTAATTGGAGAGTCAATTCTTGGCTCCAATCATAACTCCTTTTCAACATTATCCATGGAGTTTTGAAGTGTTTCTATCATACAAAAATCATTACAATCATTTCCTAGAATAACAATTTTGTAATAATCATTCTATGTACTTTCAAAACTACTGAACTTTGGCTAAACTAATTCTCGAGCTAAAACCCATGCTTAGAAATCCATAAATCTTCCATCTTTACATTAGGTGAGCTTAGATGCTTAAAGAAATCACAAAGCCTTTAAGATTTAATCACTAACTTAAAAATCTAGACAATAAAACAATTACTTAAGTTCTAAAAATCTAAAGTCAAAAGATTTAAAAGCTAAAAATGTCATCTTTTTCCATAAAAACCCAAATCTAAGCTTTAGAATCATAAAAATATAATTTTGGGTTAAAAATGAGTTGGAAGAGTTTAAGAATAGGTGTTTTACCTTGCAAATGCGACTGATGGTTGCCAACTCTCGAAAAATGTGATATATTCTATAAGCTAGGTTGTGAAAATATGTTTTTACCCTTTTTATTTTTTTGAAATCGACGAAATGTATAGATACATTGGCCCATGTATCGATACATTTCGTTTTGGAGAAAATGTATCGATACATTATGAATATATATCGATACTTGTTCATCAAAAATCCAATCTGGGTTAAATGTATTGATACATGTTCATTTGAGACAGAGTGTATTTTTTTAGATAGATTGCCTATAAAACCTACCCAGCTTATTTATATTAAATACCATTTAAGTAAATGTCCTCTTTCCTTTTTACTTTCTATTTACTTAAGATATTTAATGTAAATAAGCAAACCCTGCATTTGGATTCAATAAAAATATCAAAAAAATCAAAATCTAAATTTTGATTTCAAGAACAAAATTGAAAAAGTTTGACTGAAATTAAATTTGCGACCCTCATTTGTCATAGCAAACTTATTCCAAAACTTATGAAAAAATCATTTTTGATTATCTAAAATTCAAGGGAATCATTACGACTATTTTTTATTTCTAAAAGATTATTTTATAAAAATCACATATTTTGACCCCTTCCAAACTTAGAAAATTTTCTACTTCAAAAGTGACAAACAATAAAAAGTGTTAATAATTCTTTTAAAGGTTCAATCCAAGTTCGATATTCAAAACATATAATCTATACACTCATCTAAGGATTTTCTAACTTATCCTCTTAGTCAAGGTGGGATTTCACAAGAAGTGAAAAGACAAGTTTAACTCTTTATTTTTTTTTTGAAGTTTGACATGGAAGTATCATTACCTTGGGCCTAGGTCTCAATACTTTTGAATCAGAATGATTGTATTTGGGGTTTTTCAACACAAATCTCGAGACTTTCTTTCTAAGCAACAAAGTCTTGATACTTTCTCCAAAGTCCTCAATACTTGTCAACCAAGTCTCAATCCTTTGGCTCTAGAATGCTATTTTTAAGAGAAACATCAAGTCTTTAAGCTCCATTTGAAAGCATTTGGAGAATTTTTTTTTTTTAAGCTAAAATGTATTCAAAATCACTCATAAAACTTTAAATCCTTAGTTCACCAAGTTAAATCACATTTCAATCATTTAATAAAATGGTGGGATTTCATAAGGGCTTAGTGGGCCATACCCACATAGGACCTAGAGTCAGTCATGGCCCCTTAGAAATAGGTTTTGGCACCACCTTAATAAGTGAGAAACATAATTATGTGTAAGTGTCTATATTTTATTAATATCTTTTTTTTAATAGGTTAAATTATGTAATAACCCTTATACCTTACAAAAAGAATGGATTTAGTTCTTATACAATAATTTATGTAAATTGGATCCTTATACTTTGTGAATTTATTAATTACAGTTCCTAACTCTAACATTGTTAAATTTAACCGTTAAGTATGATGGATCTTATATAGTATATGGATTTAAGTGCATTGATGCATTTGTCTAAAGCATGAATTTCAAAAATTTCTTTTATAAAGGAAGCAAGCAATCTAATTACACAAGTAGAAAAACACACCATTCATATTACAAAAAACATAATCATATCATAAAAAATAAGAATCTATTAAAGTAAGATAAAACGTACTTTTTATTTCAAGATTCTCATTTTAAAACACCTAGTCAATTGTAGTAAATTCACCATCACATCAATGAGTGATTTCTGAACCAAACAAACTTACCAATTATTCAAAAAAATATAATTAATGAAATATTCAAAAAAGAAATCTTGAAATCACTTTGCATTAATCTAAAAAATGTAAACATTTGACCAAAATTTTTACAGATTAAAATTTTTTTCACAATGTTATGAATATTGCAGGTGTTTGTCTGTGTAAATTGATAGAGAACTTCCACAAAATTTTTGAATAGGCAAAAATATTCTTAGTTATACATATTTCTTAAGTATTATATGATCCTAATCGATTTTGAAAAAGTTCCTCTTTTCCGGCCGGTGAGGGGAGAATTAATGAGCAGAATTATTGTTGACGTCAGTGACGGAGAACCTAAACCGTCCATTCCCATGCAAGAATCTAACATTGAAATCTTAGTATAAATAGCACTCCGCTGTCAGATATGATTACTTATCCCATACGTTTGTGACCTGATGCAGCTCATTCACAGGCTCAATAAAATATATGAAAATTATTCTAAAAGAAAAAGTGGAATGAAGCCAAGCCAAGCCAAGCTGAGCCATGAAGCCAAATTTGAAAATGAAAAATACAAAGAGGTACTAGCCCCGAGCTGAAACTTCCAAAAGTGAACCCTGACGTGGCGAACGAGAAGATCTGACCTGGCAGTGATGATGAAGCTTGTTAATGGATGATTAAAGGCGGAGAAAAATCTGTGTGATTTGATTAATGGGGATGGCTAGGGAGGGAATGTGGGGCTTGTCTTTGCCTAAATGGGAATGTGGGACCTACAATCACAGCTGTACATCACACCATATCATGTCAAACTTTTCGTACGGACGGCTGTTGATTGTGCGGTTATCATTGGATGATTTTCCTTTCAATACATGCAGACATAGAGAGAGAGAGGAAGAAGAAAGCAAAGCAAAGAAAAGCAGGAGACACCCTTTTGTCAAGTCATTATTAGGTAATCCAGTCTCTCATGAGTCTCATTATCGCGTTCCGAAAAGAGAGCATACAAGAAGCAATTGTTTTGTCCCCTCCTTGTTGTATCAAAGTGTGTACATAGTTGGTCTTTTGATTCCACTAAGAGTTAATTACATATTTACTTATCAAACTACAATAATTATGTATACATTGGTATCTAAGCAAAAATGTACAATATGCTTCTCAACTTTCAAATAATATATTGTTTTAATCTAAAATCTAACATAGCTAACCTAACTAGTCTATGTATCATCTAATCACTATAATCTTCACATTGATGTCTTGTCGAACCATCTTGCATCTAACAATGGGTCAATCTCGGATGAGATTTTTATCGTTTAGGTGGCATTGTTTTAATTGACATTTAAAAGGATGTTGATGATTTCATATGATGTGATAAGATTGGTCTAATGCCGTATTATATAGGCCGATTGAGTTTAAACTTGGTGTCCATGGGCTAAATTGAGCCGGTTGACATCTAAAAACTTAGGCTCAAGCCTAATCTGTCCATTTAAGCCCATTTAACTTATTTTGCTATCAAAATAATATTTTAATATATACATATAATATTTTTATATTTTTATACAGTCGTATGCTTTAATAGCTTATTATAATTTTCTATAGAGGCAAAAACAGAACCTCACGCTAGTTTGATCTAGACCTATCCATAGGTTTCGCCCCACTCAAACCAAGTTCTGAACATGATTTTTTAGGCTTGAGTCTGGCCCAAGAACATTCTTATATTAATAGATAATATATTTTAAATTTAAAATATTAATATATTTAATAATAATAATGATATTATACTTAACTTTAATGGATGGGTCGGATCAGATTTGGGCTTTTAAGGTGTCAACTTAACTCGATCCATGGACTGCTCTAATTTTATTTTCTTTGAACTAATATTTACCATGTTTAATTTATAAAAAGCATGATATGTTATTAACTAATTGATTTTGTTAACTTATTTTTCAATTCATCATGGAAAATAGTGGAAAATAACTACGACTAGTGATTGAGGAAAGGAATGTGTTTAAAGAGTTAAGTCAAATGTTTGGACTAAATTAATTAATTATATATATTCTTCAAAACGACAACAAGATCTCCAATCATACTATGTTAAAATCAAAATATATACTTTTTAATTATGATTATTAAAATTAAGCATAAACATTCAATTTTAAATAAAAAAAAAATTGTCTTTTTGAAAATGTCGTTAACAATGGCCATTTGCTTAGGTTGCGATTGGCTGAGGCCTTTAGGGGCTGGGGTTGGATGGAGTTGGTAGCTTTTCGGACATTGTTGGGCTCGGGTATTGAATGGAACAGGCTCGATTCGTTGGCTAGGCCTAGCTCATAGGGAGAGGATAAATTACCCAGTTGTTGGACTATAAAGCAAGAAGTTTTTCACAACCCTTGAATAAATGTGAAATTAATCCTTTACAACCCTTAAATAAATTGGTAATTAGTAATAAAATTAATATTAATTCGTTTTCGTGGTTTACAGTTAGATTGTTTAAGAGAAGAAATGAATTTTCCACAAAAACAATTGCATACCAAACGACATGGATGAACAAACAGAGACTTCAAATCAAAAGGCAATGGGTTCGGCCTCCATTTGTGGTCGAAAAGTCTGAATAATTATTTTGATCATTTTTCTTCAAGGGTATTGGCGTCATTTTAAGATTATTTTACTTTTATTTACAATCCGGCTTTGATTCTTTGTCCGGCCTTCAGCGCTTCGTTTTCTGCTTCTCTGAACAACCAGGCAAAAACTCGAAAGGAAAATGAAAATGTTGCGGCTTGTCTCTCCTTTGCATCCTCGAATCCCATCAACTTCTCCGAAGCTCTCTTTTACTTACAAAGATGCTTCCTTGTTTCCCAAACCCGAAATTCAGGTCCGAAAATACCCTTCGCGATTCGTTCTATTTGCTCAAAATGGAAACAAAGATGACCTAACCAAGGAACCCAACAAGGAAAAAGGAGAAGAAAATCCAAAGGGGCAACCCAATGGGTCGGTTAATGGTGGCGACTCGAAGAATGAACGACGGTCCATGTTTAACTTCAGATTGGGTGATTTGCTGGACCCAGATCCCGATAACATCGTAGCCCTTGGATTGACAGGTCTGCTAACGTGGGCAAGTGTTCAGGTTTTGTGGCAGCTGTTTTTGATCTCGGTGGCTATTCTTTTAGCTGCTCTCAAGTATTCCGTCGTTGCTGCTCTTCTCATTGTCATTCTCATTACCCTCCTTTGAAAAAATTTTGGAACTTTTTTTCCCTTTGTTTCTTGTAACACCACCTCTCTTGGAAACTGTCACATGGAATAGGAAAGAAAAAAGTTAGCTTGAAAGATTAGATACTGGTATTCCAAGTATTTCAAAAATTAAATTGCTGGAATTTAGAGGTGGCAATTCGTTGAGCTGGGTTGGGTTGTTCTGGCTAAAATCTTGGGTATTTTCAGTTTGAATCATTGGGGGGTAAGGTCATTTTGAGTTTCAAATTACTGACTTTGTAAAAAGTAATTCAAATTGAGTCAAATAATTTGTGCTATGTTTATTATTTAAACTTGGGTCCTTTGAACATTCCAATATTGGGTTTTGCAATGTGGTGATTGGTGAAGAACTTATCGTTGCCTTTTGGGATGGTAAGCTTTCTTATTAGTATCTGAAAGCTAACCCGAAGCTACAGCTTATCCTGATTGTGTGTAGTGCAGGTAAGAGTGAGTCATCCATGGGAAAAGTGCATCAAGTGATAATGGAACAAAACTTGCACCCAGTCCCAGTAGAAAACCATTGGAATTACAGGGTCTTCATTGTGACCAACTGAATTGCCGAGAAAGCTTTATCACAATTTGAATTTGCTTTCTGGTTTTGCCCATCAGGAATCATTTACTTTATTCTGCGGCCGATCCAAGAACAGCATTGGATTACCATGCCTGGCGGAGTCAAAACTGGAACCCAAAAAAAAGGTTATGACAAGCATTCATGCAGCTTGTTGCGTGTTCAGAACGTGAAACTGAAGCCCAGTTACTCATCAATAGATCAACTTGGAAGTTCTCTAGAAGGGAGAAAAAAAATAGAAGTTGAAATGTTATTCATTTGATGAATAACATAGTCTTCCAGGAGAATATAAATACTCTAGTTTTGAAAGGAGATAATTTTTATGGGGGGTGGCTCACCAATCGCAACGAACAAGATTGGAAATTGACCACCTATGGGGTCTTGTTTGGATCTTTCTTAATTTTCTGTTGATGAATTTTTTTCTTATATAGTTTTTTTTTATTATATATAAAAGCAACATTGATTGAAATTATTCCAAGAAAGATCTGGCAAGAGCCGACATGTAAATGCAACAATTCCTACTTGCGGCAGAACTTCAAGGCAAAGCTTGTCAACAGCTAAAATTAACAATAAATTTCAAAACTTTGATCTTTTCAGGAGACGTTTGTGGAAGCCATTAACTCCATAGTTCAACATTGGTATAAAGGCTGTTTTTTTATGAAATTTAACAATCAGATACTTTACTAAATCAAATTCCAAAGAGAAACAAATGGCTAAAATAAAAGACCAAAGAAACAGCTGAGAGCATAACTATGTTGCGGTGCCTAATCTTCATCAAACTTTATCTTCTTTGGCGCAGGCTGAATGCTACCAACCTGCCAAAATATCACTCCGCGTAAGCATTGTGGCCAAATACGAAAAACCTCATGATTGCAGAAAAGAATTAGCAAGAAACAGATATACAATGTGTTAACAGACTATACACATATGCGGTTGACTAATAATAATTTATAATTCATGTTAAACGTGGTTAATCCAAAGCAGTCTTAAGTCAAACTTGGAAACAATGAAACTATACCATGATTTACAGCCAAACTGCACCCATAACAATAGCAGCAAGATCACAACTAAAAGAGATGAAAAACAAGATTAAAATGCCCCATCAACTAAAAACTAAAAACTACACATTTACTAAAGGGGTTTAAGCACAGTAGGGTAAATTTTCAAGAAGCAGCCAGTTTGAAGGCTTTTGGAAAATCCCGAAATCAGGTATGCAGGCATACAATATTGTAACTAGGTTTTCCAAACAAAGAAATAGTGTTTAATAAGTTACACTAACCAAAATCTTGATTCTTCATATTTTGACATCAAACATAAAAAGAAATATTCTAAAGCTATACACAAATTACAAAACCTGCTTTGTTTGACTTCAAGAATGTGTGCTGTTCACCACTATATTGAATTTCTCTCCAGTCATATGACATAAATCCTCCTTACAAGGTCAGTTGTCCAAGACCAGAAGTGAATTTGAAAATGAAAAGAGAGGACTAATAAGGGATGAATGGAGTGTACAAGGCTAGAACAGGATGAATGTTGAGTTATTTGTCCAATTTCATCTTCCACGTCAAATCCATGAAGGATCAAAGCATTCCTTGTGTGATTAATGCTATGGCAGGCCAAAATGTTTAAATGCTTCATGCCAGACTATTGAACAGAAGAATCCTAAAACTAAATGTTCATACACCTTCAAACTAAGCATTCCCAACAATTGTCCATGGCTACAAGTACAGAATGAAGCCAGTAAAAAACAGAGGCAGATTCTCACAATTTCAGGGCATTCATAATCGATGCCTGCAGCCTCTATCATCTTTCGACGCTTCTGATCTCGTTTTAGGATCTTCTCCACCAACTTTTTGTGCTCTTCCAACGTTCTCACCTGAATAACCAAAAACAGAACAAAATTTTTAAAAACAACAAAAGCACTGAATTAATTAGACATTTACACATAAATACACCAGATGACTTTTCCTATCTATGCTGAATACCTTATTCTGCCGCTTCCGTTCAATTTGCACATAATCCACAGGCTTGTATTTATAATTAAAACCTCTCCACCTACAAAACAAAGCATACAAATTAGCAATTACCAATCCATCAGAGTAACGCACAGAAAATGACAGAATTTCTGCATAGTATTCTAACAAACTACTAAAACACTGAGAGCAAGGGCTGCAGTAATATTTCATAGATCAGCAGATCCTCACAAACAAGCTTTCCTCCAATTCAGTAATTTATTTGATAAAATATATATAAAATGCAGACGGGCATTAGAAATTCTACACCCAACTAATATATGCATAACAATATTGACAATCCACTTAAATCATCCTTTCAGATTGCTCAGAATTTGCAATGAATATTATCCAAGATAAGCTACATATACACTTTAACCAGTGTTGTCAAGGCACAGGCCTAGGCAATAAGGTGCAAGGCATATCAAGCAAAGCACCTTGCACCCCTTCAAGCGAGGCTCCTTTAATCAAGGACAAAACTTTTGCACCTAAGTGCACTTTTTCAAGGCAAAAAGCACGGAAAAAGAAATTCTAACTTTGGCCCTGTCAAAAGGCTATCTCTTTTTCCTATATACAATACTATCTTTCAGCATGAGTGCTTTTTTGTGCCTTGTACCTTGCATGAGGTAAGGGTCTAGCAGCTAGAGTGCGCCTTGCGCCTTTGACAATTAACCACAGTTAACGTAATCTTTACATGTTCTCTTTCAAAAAAAGGAAAAATTCTCCCACATTTTTATAAGAAATATTTGATCTTTATGCAGAACTTGGACTTCTTATCCTCTCTTTTCCAAAAATATCTTTCCTCTCACTCCAATCTCGCGCAATGACAACCAAGTGTTAAAGGTCTTCCTGGTACCATTGCAAAACCAGGTCTTCTTGTGTATTAAATTTGGGGATAATATGCAGTAAATAAGGCATAACTACATTAAATCTTTTTTTTTTAAAGGCACTGGAAATTTCCTGGAAAAACATGCATGAATAAGAAAGAACCCAACTTATTGAAAAATAACTCATTGCTTACAATTTTGGATGAACATGCTCTGGAGGAATAAGATGGACTTGCAAAAGATGCTCAAACAACAGATAATTATGCATACAATCAGCTACAACTTCCGCCACCTGCAGTCAATGAGAACTTAAAGTAACCAGAATCACAATAGGCATAATTTCATTAGATATCAAATGAAAAATACTAACTCCAACCTGAGGATTCTCAAATTCTATGAAACCAAAGTGCTTTGATTTTCCTGTCTGTTGAAAACCAACAATAAAATTGCCAAAGAAAGAAAGTTAATACTTAGCTATTGTCATAGTGAAAATGTTAGTGAACAATAAAATAAAGCATTAAATGTCAGTATTATGTTCTGCAACCAGCCCTATCACACTCAACCAAATTGCGACAGAAATTTCAAAATTTTCATTCAAGGAACTTCAGAATCAACAAAGCACTAACTCAAATATGCTAAACTGTATCAACACAAATACATATAAAAGCAAATAACTCCCAACAACTTCTAAAGCCATCATTGTAAAGCATTTTTCTAGTAAAACTAGAATGGCAGCACCAAAAGGAACTTCGTAACACCCCCGAATGAGAAATTTTTTAAATTTCAAATAAACTTAACGATAGTGCACACCCTGAAGTCTACAAATGCAAATATGCTAGCAAACACAGAAATATAAATGAACCAACACAATGGTGAAACTGAAGCAATGGCTTAGGACCTTTTTATTCCGAGCAATCCTTAATCTCTTAATATTGCCAAACTGTTGAAAATAAGCTGCAAGAGAACAACCAGTTAACAAGAATTAAACAAAAAAAGGTAAAATAAAATTTTTAAAACAAGCATTCCCTCCTCCATGTAAAATTCTTTCACCTTCCATCTCTTTCTCATAAAAGCCATGTGGGATTCGACCAATATACAAGACGGTAGCCTTGTTTTGCTGGGGTTTGTTTTCTGGAAGCTCACGCGATGGACCGCCTTCCAAGGGCTTCATTGATATGCAGCATTCCAAACAGTTTGAAATTACAAACAAGCTTTCTTTTCTCTTTTTTTTTTTGCAAAGAAGAAAATCAAATACAAATTAATAACTATAAACAAACATACCAGAAAATCAGCAGATGAGGTTTTAGAATCAGAAAGAGCAAAGTGAGAACAAGCCTTCTTTCCTGTTTTCTTCAACGCTTTCCTCGCCTTGACCCCCATCGACTTTCGAATGAGTTTTTAATCTTCAATTTTCCCTTTAACAGTTCAGTTCGGCACCTCTTTATGCAGCGGTTTGTGCGGCCGCTGTGTTTGAGAGAAAACAAGGGCAAGCCAGTAAGTCGGTTTTGTACGGGAAAGGCAAGCGCACGTTAAATGGGTATGAAAGCCAAAACGGCGTAGCTTCCTATAGAGAGGAATAAAAAAAAAGAGAGGGAGGAGGATCTGGCCCTGGTCTGTGACGAAGGAGGGTAAAATACTGGGCCTCCAGAATATTTTTGGGCCTAAACAATATATTTAAAAATATATCTTTTTAATTAAAATTTAAATAAAATAATATTTTTAAACCAAATTTGATAAAAGTATTATGTCTAAAATCAGATCAAATCAAGTCAAGCTTGCAAGTCTGATCTGGAACTCTGTAAATACTTTTAACTATGAGACGAGAAGAGTTGTGCGAAAATTGACTTTTTTTTTTATGAAGGCAATAGATAATTTTCTTTTTATTTGAATTTTTTTTCTAATTAACTTCAATAGATTTTCCTTTAACAAAAAAATTTTGTTTTCAAACATTAAAAATTGAAGAAATGTATTTTGAAAATCCATTTTAAAAACCAAGAGTCTTAAATTTGAAATTTCAATTAAAATGATAAAGTCAATTAATTGACTATATGACATTAAGTCAGCCATTGGACTAGCATCTTTCCATCAACTAAAGGTCTACTCGGGTACAAATAATAAGATGAGAATTTATTTAAATATAATAAAAAATAAAAATTTATTTTAAAAACTGATAAATTTTAACAACTTATTTAGTATTTATCCTTAATAAATCAAACTCAAATATATATCAAGCTAAATGTAAGAACTTGTCTAAAGTAAGGGTGTAAACGACTAGAGTACCCACTGTTTTTTGAGGTACTCAGACTTAGAAACGATTTAAATATCAAGGTATCCTAATTTCATTAAAACTTAAATAAAATTACAAAATATTATTGAAAATCAAACCCTAATAATATAACATTACCCATTAATTACTCGAATTTATTAAATACCCAATTATACAAGTAAATTTTTTATATCTAGATACAAGCTTAATAAACCAAAACCCGAACTCGAATAAAAAAAATATTTTACATTAATTCATATGTAGTTTATTAACAATTAAAATTTAAACCATAGAAAATTATATAATAACTCAAACAACAACAATATAACATAAAAACCATATAAATGTAGTATCAAACATCATATTCAAATGTAACATATATCAAGTATCATATAATATAATTTAATTCAAGTAATGGGTATCCTAAGAGTCATACCTGCAACCTACTCGAACTCGAGACAAGTATCAAAAACTTTACCCAAACTCTCCCCATAACCGAATTTAAAATTCTCAAACTCTACTTTTAAATAATCGTATAACATCAACCCATTTACATCCCTAATCTATAGATCGAGACCCTTACATAACCCATATTTTGAATCCATCCAAGCCACTCGAACCTAAACTTGGCCCAACTAGAATTTGACTCTTAAGGGTCAATAACTTGAAATGAACTCAGCTTAATTATATTCAAACCTAAAGTTACCTAACTTGAATTTGAAGCAACTTTAAATTTAAACCAAGTAAAACATGTACTCCACCAATCTCATATTGGGATACTTTAATACTACATCCATTATATTTCTTTAACACTTAAAAGTGCAACTCTTGAAATTTATATGTTCATTTTTTTTTTATAATTGAGAGAAAGAGAATTCGAACCTTACTCTTTAGATAGGAGATAATGCACCAACCAATGAGCCAAATGCTTGGGTACAATTTATATGTTCATATTAATTTTTAATAATTTTTATATTATTTATCTATATTATAAAAATTTAAAATAAATACTAAAATCAAAATGTTTTTCTTAATATTCATGCTGAGTCAATATACAAAATTTCAATTTAAGACAAAATGTGCATAGTTTTTTACTTTAAATACCAAATTTCAATAAAAATGATCATTATAATATAAACTATTATAAAAAATGACCAACACGACTTGATTATTCCATGTCCCAACTTCGGCTTTCAACTAACACTAGGGCAAAAGTAGGCTATCACGACGCCGTTCCAAGCCAAGACCTTATTGGTGGGGCTTACTCAATCCACGAAATCCTCAAAAAACAGATAAACAAAAACACCTAACATAATATTAATAGTACGAGGACTCGCCTTAGACTGATATACTTAACATAATACATAGCGTTAATCATACTCCATGCCTTGGCATGAAGTTTAAATGCATGACACACGCCCAAATTATTCAATATATATATATATTTGTACTCATGGTACACTTCAAAACTATATTCCATCTTGTGGCTAATACAACATGTCTCAACCCAATCTCAAGCCATGACCAACATGAGGGCCCAATAGGCATAGCCCTCCAAGCCCAGGCAAATCTTATACTTATTTTTGTGATAACTAGCTCAATATCATACTTTGTATCGAGCAATCTTCATATATTTACACGACATATCCTATGCACATTGTATGCATCATGCATACTATCATCAAAATATTGCCACCTCGTGGCTACATCAATGTCTATGCAGGACCACTATCTCAATAGTGTACCATCAGAACATGATAAAGGGAACATAGATAAAACATGCTATGGTTTGTAAACGTAACATCCTAGGGGCATGTAATCCATATCGATAGTAATATAGAACATGCAAAGGGCATGTACCCCACATGGATAATATTATAGAACATGCTAAGGGCATGTAACCCATATCGATAATAGTACAGAATATACTAGGGGCATGTAATTCATACAAAGCTATCAACTCAATTTTATTTCACAATATGAGCAAACTTACTCTAAGGTTGCCTTCATACTTTATCAAACGCTAACCTTTCAATTAACACATCATCCAAGGATTACATTCATATAAACTATAAACCATTCAAACTAAGTTCAGATTTGAGGCATCAAAACAATTAAAATGCTTGTTTCCTATGCACTAGACTAATTATATAATTATACATATTCATTTACCATAGTTACATTTCAAAAGCTTATTTAAAACATGGCATTTCAACTTCAAATTTCTATCTTATATACATGATTAATCAACACATCATTAAATACTAAGACATCCTTATATCAAAATAATTCAATTACACCATATCTACTCATAATACAAGAGGTGCTTTTCTTCTAACACATCCAACCAACAAAACCTTGCTCAATATGGACTATTGGAGCCTTCAATAGAACCTAAAATGATTAATAATCATTAATAGCTTCATTAATTTCAAAAAATTTGTAATTATCAAAGTACCCAAACAAAAACCTAATTAATCTCTCTAAACCCAAAATTAGACTCTAAATTTTCTTCCAAATTACAAATCGATAGTATAAATAACCTTAATTTCAACTTGTCTTATTTTGGTGAGTTTGCTGGAGAGCAACCAAATAAAAACCCTAAAATTTTAGAGAGAAAACGGTTGAGAATAGAGAGGGAAAGTTTCAAATTTTGAAATCCATGAGTTTAAATGTTTAAGAAGCTGAATCTCACTTTTTACACCCTCAAATCTAGAAAATCAATGTTGGAATGTGGTTTGATTGATGAGAAAAGATACAAAAACTTGAGAGAGAAAGAAAAGACAAGAAATCGTGAAAGAAGGGAGAGAAAAGGGCATATCGGTAGATGCAAGGAAAAATAAAGGTAAACGCTTCTTTTAGAACTTTTGACCAGTTAAGAAAAGTCAATAGAAAAATTTTAAAGAAAATAACCATTTTCTCCTCTTTACGAAATAAGCCGTTTTTCTTTCAAATTGCACTCAATAACTTTTAAAATATGTTTTTTCTAGGGAATAAATTTCAAAAATTTAGATAGAGAATATTTATTATTACCTTTTTACCCTTATACCAAAATTAGGGATTTTTCATAAAGCACATTTTAATAAGAAATATAAAAAGAGGAAATTGTGAGAAAAGGGCTTCGGCATAAGGTGATTTCAAAAATAATGAACCATATAAAGTTATCTATTTCTAGCCACTAAGAAGCATGAGTAGACCAAAATGCCTTTAAAACATCGTGGGAAATTAAGCTCCCGATATCTCCGACCCGTCAGAGAGAAAATAGAAATAAATGCTCAGCTATTTGAGGTAGCTCATCTTTCTCTCTCAGCTCTTTGAACTATATCAACTCTGTTAACTTTCTGTTAAGCACCATTGTCATCTGTTCGCTCAACTCTCTAAACTGTATGAGCTCTGTCAACTCTCTGTTGAGCACCATCATCATCGTGTTATGGTCTATCTCTCGACATCTGGCCATATTGTCGTCAATAAACAGACCATATAGCAGAGATGACATCAAGGTATGTTATTAGGTTTATTGCTACAATAGATAAATGTTTAAAACTTTTTGTGTAAATTAAAACATGGATTAGAAACACTGCCAAGAGTTGTTACACGCCATGCATCTATAAAGCAGATGGCATGTAAAAAATATACTGAAATAACATGTGTTAGCACAGGGCGTGTAACATGTTGTGAACATGGCGTGTAACAAATTTTTGAACTTGCGTGTAACATTTTTAAATAAGGCATGTCACACTTTTTGAAATTGCGTGTAACATTTTTGAATATAACGTGTATCATATTTTAAACACGAAGTGTAATATTTTTTAAAAATGACGTGTAACATATTTGAAAAATGGCATGTAATAACATGACAGACAAATTATGGAACACGACATGTAATGTGTAAAATGATTGATAAATGTTATGTTTTCAAAATTACAGTGGGGTTCCAATTGTGCGACTTGTGATAAGACATAGTGGTCAATGGGTGGATGGCATTTACAAGGGTGGTGAGTCACAAATGCGGGGGGTTAGGAGTGATTTGTCGTTTAAGGGCTTGATGAACCTAGTTGAACAAGTTGTTGGCGTAAACTCAAAAATGTGCGAGATTGAGTTACATGCATTGATCAATACACCTGGAGAGGTATCACACCCAATTATCAAGGACGATGAAAATGTTGTATAAATTTTGCTAGAATTGAGAAATGTTCCAGCTATGTATGTCAACATTAAAAGACGCCAAACAAATGTTATGTCACATCAAGAAGCTGAACAATATGGTAATCAA